ATCCAAACAGAGTTACAGGTAAATCGAAAAGGGGGGGGGGGATGAAGGCTAACGCATTTCGAAGGGTGCTCCCTTCTTCATCAGAGCTGATAAAAAAAAAAAACAAATACAGATTCCCCTCAAACTATTTACATGAATCATGGTGGTATAACAGGTGGCGATACTGTTAGATGAGCATAGCAATACACATGAAAATACTCATGGTAATACGTATATTTATATATTATAATAATAATAATAAAGCGCCGATAGTTCACTCAGCGTCAAAAATCTCATACAGAAAAGGTGCATATATAGAAAAAAAATCGTACAAAAAAAAAAAAAAAAAAAAAATCGGGAAAACATTTTTTTATATATAGAGAGAATCCATAGAATAAACATGTATACATATATATGTAAATGCAAAAGCACAATTGCTATTTAAAGGCTATTTTAGTCTCTATCTGCTCAACCCAGGTATCTTTTATAATAACATACACTATTTTATACTACACACATAATAAAATGAACGCATCCCGTCTTTAAATTTTAAATAGCAATTGTGCTTTTGCGTTTACATATATATGTATACATGTTTATTCTATGGATTCTCTCTATATATAAAAAAAATGTTTTCCCTTTTTTTTTTTTTTTGTATGTTTTCTATTTATGCACCTTTTCTGTATGAGATTTTTGTTGTTATTATTATTATTATCATCACTATACGTATTACCATGAGTATTTTCATGTGTATTGCTATGATCATCTAACAGTATCGCCACCTGTTATACCATCATGATTCATGTAAATAGTTTGAGGGGAATCTGTATTTGCATTTGTTTTTTTTATCAGCTCTGATGAAGAAGGGAGCACCCTTCGAAACGCGTTAGCCTTCATCCCCCCCCCCTCTTTTCAATTTACCTGTAACCCTGTTTGGATTATGGTTACTTATGCCTGTTATACCATCACTTTGTGAGTATATTTCCTTATTAATAAAATTAGTCACTATTTATTGAGGTAATGCGCAAGGTTTGTGCGCTCTTTCTTTCATCTTCCTCTTCAGTAGTCCCAACACCTGATTGATGTGCCGCTCGTTGTGGAAAACTGCAACGGTGCCTTCTCCCCCTCCCTTCAAAGACGTGAAAAGTGTCCTTTACCAAGTGGTGCTGTTGCAGGTAGCCGTTGTGCTGTTCATATGCGTATGCAGCTACATGCATATGGCTCTTGTCTTTGAACTGTGTTCTACGGTGTATGGATCCTGGGGCTCAGTCCTGTTTGTTTTTACACCCCGATTCTTTTAACACCTACACAATGTTTTTGCTGCTGTGCTATTTTTGATATATTTATTTTTTCATTGATATGTGACCTTCTGTTTGTTTTTTTATTGATCCCTAAAAGAAAAGAAAATATGTTTGTAAATAAAGAATGCACAAAAAAAAGATCATTAGGGTTGTGCTGCTGGCTTTGCCAAGTGGCATTGATCCTGGGACTGTGCAGGCACCATCAAATAGAAGGTCAATCAGCCACAGCTGATGGGATATGCTATCCTTAGAAATTGAAAGTGAACAGCAGAGAAGAAGCTGTAAAGCAGCCTTTCTCAACCTTTTCTACACAGAGGAACCCTTGAAATAACTTTCAGGTTCCAGGGAACATCTGTCAATAATTAAAATATCTACAACTCATGATACATTAGTATGATGGTCAATGGGAAGAATGTTCCTTACACTCGTGGTCATACCCCCTTACAGATAGCTAAAAAGAACAATAGTGTCAGTGGGAAGTTATCAGAGAGGCAGAAATTGCTCATTGTTCAAGGAACCCTTAGCAACCTCTGGAGGAAGCCTAGGGTTCTATGGAACCCTGGTTGAGAAACCCTGCTGTAGAGCATTCAGGGAATCCAGGAATTTGTGAAAAGAGATGGACAGCAGAAAGGCAGCGCTCACAACCTGAAACCCTATGAACCCCCAGCAACCCCTGGAGGAACCTTAGGGTTTCCATGAAAGCCTGGTTTAAAATGGCTGTGCTAGAATGTGCAAAGTTGGATGAGAGCTCTTAGAACTCCCCCAGGGCACAGGAACAGAGCCAGGATTTATGGCAGGGAGAACTCACGGTTGGAGCATTCCAATGCATAAGAAGCCAGGAGCTGATTCAGACCACCATGCTTCGCCTATAACTAAAATAGGAAGATTGGGTGGACTCTCCCCTTAATTTTATGTATAGAAAAGATACTAACTAAGATTCCCATCTGGACAGCTTGGTTAGTTAGGCATGATTAGTGAAAACGAAAACTGCTGAAATAATAAAATAAATAAAAACAAAACCTACTGACAAACAAAACTGAAAAGACTGTTCGTAGATCTGTTTTGTTGGAAGCATTTTAAGCTGCGAGTCATCCAGGTCTTTTTGGTGTTTGATCTGCTGTTTATTGTAAAAATAAATGCTAGGTATCAATAACCCACACTGGGGTAGTTCTTAGGATAGCTTCAGCTGAAAAATCAGATTAGTTAGGACTCATTTGTTCAGCATTTGTCACCGCGTATCATTGTTCTTGTTTGTTTTCTTTGTCATTAGGTATGATTGCTGAATTCTATCGACTGCTAGTGGCCGCTTTCTCCGCTGCTCTTTGTTATTTAGGGCAGAGGATCGTGTGAACTGAATAACAAACACCGGAGCCAGACTCTGAGACGGAATATATTGTCATTCTACGTGAGATCTTGGTGGTTGCATGGAACTGAGGCTCACTGCTACTCACTAATTAGACACAGCAAATCTTAATGGGTTGTTTTGACCCGTAATAGAGTCGGAGAGCTAGATTTAGGTCAGCTCTGTAGCCAGTGGTGTTCTGGCCATTTGACAATTAAAACAGAATTCTACTAAGCATTATTTACATGTGTACTAATTGCAGGGAGAAAAAAAACTGCATTGCATTGGGAAAGGTAAAAAAATATGGGGTTCTCATGCCTCTAACAAGCATCCATGGGTAAAAATAATAATAAAAAAAAGCTAGGAGCTATGTGTGACATCTATTCTTCCTGAACACACCATAGATGTCAGATATGAGGGTGGAAAAACACACAACACAGTTCTTTACCCCCTTTATGACCAAGATACTGGAATTTATTTAAACTACTAATGGTGGTGACCAGCGACTTATAATGGGACCGTGATAGTGCAGCTGGCAATCTGACACTAACTGATGCTGGGGGGAACTGTCTAACTTCCACTGACATCACAATTGACATTATTTCAGTGATAATACTATAAACTGTCACTGTACTAATGACACTGGCTGGTAATGGGTTAACATCTAGGGCAATCAAGGGGTTAAATGTGTGCCTAATTATGTGTAAAGTGTGCTGCTTTTTACTAAGAGATCTCTTAGTTTCTCATTCCTTCTTTGCAGAAACCATTCCCTCTGTACAGATCCCTGTGTTGATTGTCAACACAGAGCTCATGGGTGCAATTGTACACAGCTGATCAACAGGTCCCGGCTGTGAATCATTGGTTGGGACTTGCTGACAGGCTCCCGTTGTGTACACTCCGAAACCCAGGAACAGGCAGCAACATACGGGTGCGTCGCTTTGCCTCTGTGGACTGCCTGTCCGCAATACACTGCGGGTGGGTGGTCTCCAAGTGGTTGAAGAGGAAGAGTCATTTTTTTTTCTTTTGTGTGGGATAAACATGAATGGGATCTGCCCAAAGCAGTGTTCTAGCTCCCCCTCCCAAAAATTAAAAGTCAGAAGCTACAAATACTGTCCAGGGATCCAGCGGTGTCCTCACCCCGAGACGCTTCTTCAGTCAGCTATTGGGTGCTGGTGCCACCATCTTGACTAAGGAAAGCCTTGCGGATTCACAACCGGTCTCCTACTGTGCATGCGCAAACCGTGCTGTGCTTTGTGAATGGGCTGCAGTCCTCTGGGACCTGTGAAGTGTCCCAGAGGTCTTCAAGGGGAAGGAGGGGGACCAAACTACCGGCTCAGATCTTGAATTGAGCCAGAAGTGGGAGCGAGTACCTGTCAAAACCAAGTACTTGTTCCCTTCTCCCCCCAAAAGGTTTCCCCCTTCATCTGATATTTTCCCCTTTGCCACACTGTCACGCTACTTTATTTGCTTACCCGAATCCTAGGAATTTGCAAGGTACCTCCATGTATGTGACCTTCTCCCTTTTCTCCCATGATGCAATGCTCAGTACCAGAGCAGCCAGTCAAATTAGGCCCAACCATAGTCACATGGGCGTGGGGGGTGATCATTAGCCCTATGTAAATTCCAGCACACAGCTTTCTCGGGGCTTTTAACACAGAACTCTGTTATGTGAACAGGACTATGGACGAGCACAGTGGTCAGTAGGGTGATAGCTGGGCTGTCATGTCAACCTGTCACTTTAGCCTTCAGGTTCACTTTAAAGCTGAAGTTTAGTAAAAAACAAATTCTTTCTCTATCCATCATCCTTAGAAGGCTACAGAATGTTTACAGAGATGGCACCATTGACCAGAGCAATAGGCACAGATGGATGAAGAAGTTTAACCGCTAGCCTACAGGGCACTTATACCCCCTTCCTCCCCAGGCCAATTTCCAGCTTTCAGCACTGTCACACTTTGAATGACAATTGCGCGGTCATGCAACACTGTACCCATATGAAATTTTTACAATTTTTTTGAGACAGATAGAGCTTTCTTTTGGTGGTATTTAAACCTCTGGGTTTTTTTTTTCTTAAACAAACCAAAAACCACTGAAAATTTTGAAGAAAAAAAATCTTTTTCTTAGTTTTTGTTATACAGTTTTGTAAATAAGTGATTTTTCTCCTTCACTGATGTGCGCTAATGAGGCTGCAGTTATGGGCACTGGTAGGCTGCACTGATGGACACTGATAGGTGGCACTGATGGGCACAGATGAAGAGGCACTGGTAGGTTGCACTGATGGGCATTGACAGGCATCACTGATGGGCACTGAAAGGCAGCACTGATACATGACACTGATATATTGCACTGATAGGCAGCACTGACTGGCACTGATAGGCGGAACTGACTGGCACTGTTAGGTGGCACTGACTGGCACTGATTGGCAGCACTGATAGGTGGCACTGACTGGCACTGATAGGTGGCACTGATTGGCATTGATAGGTGGCACTGACTGGCACTGAAGGGGTGACACTGAAAGGCAGCTCAGATTGGCACTGATATGTGGCATTAATGTGCACTGGTATGCACTGATACGTGGCACTGATGGGCACTGGCACGTGGCACTTCTGGGGCCACACTGATCATCAGGGCACACTGATCATCAGTGCCCTGATGATCAGTGTACATGTCTCCTCCGCGGAAAGCCGATTACCGGCTCTCCTCTCCTCTTGAGCTGTCAGCGTGACAGCTCGAGAGGAGAGAAATGCCGATAACCGGCATTTCCGTGTTTACATGTGATCAGCTGTGATTGGACACAGCTGATCACATGACCGAACCGACATCATCGGCTCTTTCCGTGATCCGCTTTGTCCGAGGGAACACAGCGCACCGGCGATTGCCGCGCTCCGTGAGCCGACGCATGCGCAGTGAGAATGGTAGGACGTCATATGACGTCCTATCAGAAACGAGAGAACCACCTTGCGCCCGTCTTTGTACTATAGGGCGGGCGGAAGGTGGTTAAATGGTGTCATTCTGTAGCTTTCTATGAATGTCGGACAGTCTGCACCCCTCCTTCATCAAGAACTCAATGACGGCACATTGCTTCTGCTTGGAATCCATTATTTATCTGCAATGGAAAAGGAGAGGAAGAGTTACTATAGAGGAAGAGTTACTATAGAGCAGTGGTTCTCAACCTGTGGGTCGCGACCCCTTTGGGGGTCGAACGACCTTTTCACAGGGGTCCCCTAAGACCATCAGAAAACACATATTTCCGATGTGTAAAGAGCAGCTACTGTGTAGAAAGCAGCTGCTGTGTCGAAAGCAGCTACTCTGTTAAAAGCAGCTACTATGTTTGAAAGAAGCAGTATTGGAGGTAAAAACGACACTTTATGAATTATAATTACTGGGTAAATAATTTTATGGTTGGGGGTCACCACAACATAAAAAACTGTGTTAAAGGGATGCGGCATTAGGAAGGTTGAGAACCACTGCTATAGAGGAAGAGTTACTATAGAGGAAGAGTTACTATAGAGGAGGAGTTACTATAGAGGAGGAGTTACTATAGAGGAGGAGTTACTATAGAGGAGGAGTTACTATAGAGGAGGAGTTACTATAGAGAGATACTATAGAGGAAGAGATACTATAGAGGAGGAGTTACTATAGAGGAAGAGATACTATAGAGAAGAGATACTATAGAGGAAGAGATACTATAGAGGAGGAGTTACTATAGAGGAAGAGATACTATAGAGGAAGAGATACTATAGAGGAAGAGATACTATAGAGGAGGAGTTACTATAGAGGAAGAGATACTATAGAGGAGGAGTTACTATAGAGGAAGAGATACTATAGAGAGAAGAGATACTATAGAGGAAGAGATACTATAGAGGAAGAGATACTATAGAGGAAGAGTTACTACTATAGAAAGATTTACTATAGAGGAAGAGTTACTATATGGAAGAATAAATCCCCTCTAATGTTGGGTGTCCTACATGTGTAGATGTTGCTGCGTTATTTAAAACTATTAGAATACTTTTCACATTTTAGAAAGGGGTGTCCTTTTAAAATGGTGGACAGTCTTGAGGCACCCCATTTTAGAATGGGGTGCCTCAAGACTGTCCATAGTTTTAAAGGGTGCTCGGGAGCTGTACATAATTTTAAAGGGTGTCTTGACTGAAAAAAGGTTGAGAAACACTGGTCTACCGGTAGAACTGTTTAGACTTCTAAATATGATATTTTGAAAATGTTATCTCAGTTTCCAAAGCTGAGAGAGCTGTTATTATGCAGATGAGTCAGCTTCTAAAACCTATCAGAATAATTTGTTGTCTGTGACCATCATGCTTTAAAGTTGACCTGTCATGAAAATTTCCTACTGCACCCGATTTAAAAGGGCACATGTCAGCATTACCAAAACAAATTATTAAAAAAAATACCACTTTCTGCCATGAATAAAAAGCTCCCTCATCTGACCTAAAGGGAGGCAGTCTGTCTGGTAAACATGCAGCGAGATAAGAGGCTCAGCAAGACAAAACTAGGAAGCCCAGCGAGGACATGTAATAGACAAATACAGCCAGCCCTGTATAAATGTATTACTATACTTTATTCATAGAAGCAAGGTTTCATAAAACAAGAAAACATTTAGAGTAGACTGCAGATAAACAGGTACAACTTTGCAGGAGGATTTGTTTAATCTCTGTGTATACCCTGAGGCCAGTCACTTCACTGGATTTACGCAAGGGTGTACACCCCCTTAAAAAAAAAGTTATGCCCACTTTTGCATTACTTTAGGTACAGTCCTTGTTCTTTTTCTCAAAAATTTGACTAAATGAAGAATTAAAAAAAGAACTCTGATCTAAATAAAACTGCTTTATAGAGTCTACTGGCAGAACTGTTTAGATCTCTAGATATGATCTTGTGAAAATTGTATCTGTTTCCAAAGCTGAGAGAGCGGTTATAATGCAAATGAGTCAGCTTCTAAAACCTATCAGAATAATTTGTTGTCTGTGACCATCATGCTTTCAAGTTGACCTGTCATGAAAATTTCCTACTGCACCCGATTTAAAAGGACACATGTCAGCATTACCAAAACAAATGATTAACAAAATACCACTTTCTGCCATGAATTAAAAGCTCCATCATCTGACCTAAAGGGAGGCAGTCTGTCTGGTAAACATGCAGCGAGATAAGAGGCTCAGCAAGACAAAAATAGGAAGCCCAGCGAGGACATGTAATAGGCAACAACAGCCAGCCCTGTATACAGTGGGTATAGGAAAGGATCAACCCCCCTCTTTAAAAATAATCACATTTTGTAGCTTTGCAGCCTGAAATGATCTCCTTTATCCTGCAGATCTTTTGACATGACTTGCCACCCATAGTTGATTGTTTGCTTCAGTTGCACTATCAGGGACTGAAATGCTCCAGAAAAGCTCTTTTCATGCAAAGCTAATCTAAATGATCACAGCTGAAAGTCAAATGGCTTTGTGTGCCATTGAGAAGGTGATTAGCTACACCAGATTGAGTTTACAAGTCATTTTTAGGGGGGGGTGATTCTTTTTCCAAATCAGTGATTCTGTTTTTGAACATGGTGCTCTATTTTGCACTTGGATGTTGCAAGTTGCACTGAGTAAATACTCAGGGACTGAAATGCTCCAGGAAAGCTCTTTTCATGCTGAGCTAATCAAAATGGCCCTAGCTGATCTCAATTGAAAGTCAAATGGCTTTGTGTGCCATTGAGAAGGTGATTAGCTACACCTGATTGAGCTTACAAGTCATTTTTAGGAGGAGGGTGATCCTTTTTCCAACTCAGCAAAAATGTTTTTGAATTTTTAAAAATTTTTTCTGACATGTTAGTGTTATATCTTTCACTTGGACGTTATACATTGCACTGAGTAAATACAGTTGGATAAAACAAAAACTGTGTCTGTCTTCATTTCAGGCTGCGAAGCAACAAAATGTGATTATTTTAAAGATTATTTTCTCTACTCACTGTATATATATTACTTTACATTAGTCATGAAAGCAAGATTTATTAAAACAAGATTATTTAGTTAAACTGAAGCTTAGCTAAAAAAACAAACTTTTTTCCTCTCTTTTTTTACTTACCTATAACGAAGTGTGCCTTATGATGTTCAAGTTGCTGAATTCTGTGGAACTCTTCGCTACAGAGCTGCCCTGTCCTCTTCCTGCTGCTGAACTTCTGGCGCTGTGGGGGTTAACAGCTTTAGGTCTCCAGGCTCAGCTGCTCTAAGTCTTCAGTCACACCGAATCTGACTTTGAAATCGTGTGACTTCGCTTGAATTCCAAATGCACACGTTCCTGCGTTAAAAATGGCGGTGTGTATAAGTGGGTGCTGCAGCGACCGTTGGCTGGAACCGAACAAAATCAGCAAGGTAAAATGTCACCAGCACACCGAGGATCGCCAATATGGGTCCAAAGGTTTTAATGAACGATCACATAGTTAGAGCAAGGCCTTGCTGGATCCTTTGTGATCGTTCATTAAAACCTTTGGACCCATATTGGTGATCCTTGGTGTGCTGGTGACATTTTTCCTTCGCTTGTATTCAGTCTGACTTCATGTGCGACTTCATGTACAGATGTCTACGTAAGCCGCACCTAAAGTTGAAAAAAGTAGCACATGAAATACTTTCAAAATCAGTGCGACTCTGATGGAGTTGGGATTGCACAGATATGACCGCTTCCAATGCAGACAATAGGGTGCGACTTTTGATGTGATTTGAAATGATCAAATCGCATGACAAGTCGCACCGGTGTGACTGAGGACATAAGATCATTCGAAGTGGCCATGTCCCCTGCACCCCCCTCTGCCTTCTCCTCCTCCATTGAGAAAAGCAATTTTTTTTGATTAGAACAATAAAGAATCAAGCGAGCACTTACGATAGCATCTGCGCACTGAAAAGGAACCACAAACCTTAACAAATCAGACAATATAAAAACGAGTGCCGCGCTCTACAATGTATAAAGTGCAGATAATGTACAATAAACTGTATTGATATATCGTCCTGATTAAAGACAGCAATATAATATCTAAATAGGAGGATGCTCCAAGTGATGTAATATGTCTCAAATGACCGTGACAGTCCGCCCTGATGTTGATGGACAGATATCTATATCCCGATGTGCATCAAAATAATCCGGTGATGTGAGGTTCCCTTTAAGGTACAGCCTGGGAGTGGATCCTCTCCTTTACAGATGTGGGTGCTAGAGATGTCACTCAACCTTGCCCTCAACTGGATATGCTGTGGTAGGATCTGGTCAAACAGGCTCCCCCCTCTCTGGTCCTGGTAGAATACCTGGGATCCGGCTCACAATGGCTCCATGATAGAGTAACTGTGTGCAGATCTGTGCCGAGGAGAGGATCCAGTCCCAGGCTGTACCTTAAAGGGAACCTCTGCTTCTGGCATACTTGACCTATACGCATTAAGATTGCGCTTCCGGTGAGTGGGCAATCTTTCCATTGGTCGCACATCACCGGATTATTTTGATGCACATCAGGATATAGATATCTGTCCATCAACATCAGGGTGGACTGTCACTTGAGATATATTACATCACTTGGAGCATCCTCCTATTTAGATATTATATTGCTGTCTTTAATCAGGACGATATATCAATACAGTTTATTATAATTTTTTTGATTACACTGCCTGTATCACGATTGATTGCAGTGTAGTCAGTAAAGGAAAGGCTGATACACACAGGCCAAATATTGTCCGGAATCGGCCAGTTCAACAGAAATCTGCTGACATTCGGCCCTTGTATACAGCCAGTCTTCCAACAGAAGCCGGTCCAACAACCAGCTTTCATAATCCGGGCATGC